TTCCGGACGGACGGCGGCCGTCCGGTCGTCGGTTCCGGGCGGCCCAAAAGTTGTCTGGTTCCGGACGGCCGGACAGTTTTTTAATTTTTTTTTTTATAATAATTATAATAATAATAATAATTATAAATAATTCTAATTGTAATAATAATAATAATTATAATAACAATTATAAATTATAATAATAATTATATATTATAATAATAATTATTATAATAACAATTATAAATTATAATAATAATTATTAAATATTATAATAATAATAATAAGTTGAATAAATTGTAATTAATTATAAATTCTAAAAATAATATTAATAATATTAATAATTATAAATTATAAATTCTTATAATAATAATATTATAAGAAATAATAATAATAATTTGTAATGATAATTATATTTAAATGTAATAATAATTATAAATTAGTATTAATTATAATAATTTAAATAAAAAATTATAATAACTATCATAAATCTCAACAATTATATTTATATATTAAAATAAAAATGAATTATAATCTATTGTAATAGTTATTAGAATAGTCATTACATATGGAAAAATTTAATAATTATATTTCTGATTCAGGGTGTTGGCAGACCTAGACAATCTAATGTCAGGGACGACGACGAGGCGTTCGATGACTATTATGATGGTTCTGGCACCCGACACACTAGAAGTCGGGGTGTTAATACGTCTGTTTGTCGGGAGAGGGACATGAAAAGGCAGGCGATGATCGATGAGGCTCGGAGGGTACAGATTCGTCAAGCTAGGCAGAGTTCGAGACCTCCCGCACCAGTACGAGATGGTCCGCAGGGATATCATTTTGAGGGCCAGCCAGATAGTTCGCGACTCCACGGAGTCCTCCCGTACGGTGAGCATGGATTTTATTATCCTGGCCAGGCAGGCAGTTCGATGCCCCCGGCACCAGGACCGTACGATCAGTCGCGATATGCTTTTCTCCGCTACGCAGGGAAGTCGCTACCTCCTCGCGCACGCGTACCATTACCCTATGGTCAGCAGGGGTATGCTGATGAGTCGTACGGCGAAAGGGAGCAGGGTTCAGAGGAGTGTGACTCGGACGACTCCTCAAATGATCAGGACGACGCACAGCCTACGGGTCCTAGCCACCCTCGTCCTCCTGCTGTTCGTCCGGTACAGCCGGTTCTACAGCAGGTTCGTCCGGTACAGGCTGTTCGTCCTACACAGGCTGCTCCTCAACGACAGGCTGGGGGGCGTTTTGGCCCATCTACATCCTCATCAGGTGAATAATTTACGTATTTATTGTTGTTTAACATAAATTATTTTCACTTAATCATAACAAATTATTGGTACTGTTAGAAAAGTATTATCGGTCTGCTCCTCAACTACGGTATAATTATTTTGTAATTTAGAGGAACCATACAATTAGTTAGTTAAAAAATTATTATAATTATTTTTATTATTGTTATAATCAATTTGTAGTAATGTTACATAATAAATTAGTTTAAAATTTTCATTATATTTTCTTAATGTAAAATGTAACGTCAGTACATTAATTGAAAAAAAAAAAAGAACGAGAAACTTATGAAATATGTTTTATTAAATATATTTTATTTAATGCATCTGCCAGCAAGTCGATATATACAGATATGTTGTATTTTAATGCAGGTACTAGCAAACGAGTTAGGACCGATGATGATGCACCCTGGATCGTTAAAGGCCCAGTGCCCGGTGGGCCCATTGATGAGAGTGTCATCCCTAGCTTTCTAGGGCACGTCGCCTCCCGCATGTGGAGTGCAGATTTGAGGAGGCCGCTGAAATGCCACAACAGACTGAGAGTGATCGAGAATCTGAAGGCTTGGAGTGAAGAGATGTCTTCCGATGCGAGAGCTCTTCCCGACCAGACCGGGCTGTCACATTTGGCCGACTCCATGCACATCCACTTGGACACCTCACTTATTTCTGCGTTTGTGGAGCGATGGCAGCCGGATACTAACTCGTTTCACCTGCCTTTTGGTGAAATGAGCATCATGTTGCACGACGTTTGGGCCATTTTAGGCGTTCCTGTGGAGGGAGCCGTGGTCGCTGAGGACCCGGATTCGGACGCCTGTCATGGGCTCTGCATGTCGATACTTACGGTCACCAAGGGCGAACTCATGAGTTTGTTCTGGCAGCGTGGTTCGGTGTCCGAAGCCGCCATTTCGGGGACATTCAGAGGGAAAGGCCGACCGGCTAGGGATGAGGCGGGTGCCTGGATGTGGGTGATGCTGGCTACCACATTGTTCGTCGACAAGAGTGGTAGTAGAGTGACCCCCAAGCTCCTACACGAGGTGCTCGACGGCTTGGATTTGATTGGGGATTACTCATGGGGATCGGCTACGCTGCCATACATGTACAGACAGCTAGGTATTGCCAACCAAGGGGACTCTGCCCAGATGTCGTGCTGTTTGACTCTTCTGCAGTCTTGGATATATGAGTATTTCCCCGATTTCTGACCCCGGGGGCGTCTACCCATCGGTCCTGACTGTCTCGCACGATCACACTCATGGAGCATAGGGAACACGCCACGGTCAGACGATCGGCTCATAGCCATTCGTCGGCGCCTCGACAGACTCACTTCTTCCGATGTACGTGAAGTTAATTTATATAAATTTAGTTACCCGTTATTTAAAATAATATAATTATTTTTATAAATGCTTTTATGCAATTGTGAACAGGTGCAATGGTTGCCATACGGCAACTCCAGCCCAGATGCGATAGAGCCGAGGACTTTTTATAGCGGATTGATTCGATACCGCGATGTCGTCGAGCCGTACTTGCCTGCGCGGTGTCTGCGTCAGTTGGGGTATGTCCAGACTGTCCCTCCCCCTACATACCCGCCAATCAGTGCAGTACGTGCTTGGGAGTCTAGGAACTACAGGGTTGAGCATTCTGAGACTGCTGCAGTAGGTGCCTGGATCCAGTTCCCGATTTTTGGGACGGTCAACACCAGTATGTTGACCCCCACCACACAGGATCGCGGGGAGGCGACTGAGGATTACCTGCAGTGGTACAGTCAGGTTTCCCATCCGACTCTCATGGACGAGAACGAGGTCCCTACGCGTGTTAATACCGCTTATGTAAGTTGGTTACTAAATTTTAATTAATGTTATTTCATTAAATAATTTTTTTTTTAATAAATTTTAGTCTTATCTTTTTATTCTTCAATTTGTTTAGTGGGTGAACCGTCTTTTGGTCATTACATCGATTTGACAACAGGGATGCGAATGTCCGGTGGTGGCGGAAGTTGTTCGCTAATTATTTTCGCTATCCGCAAGTGTAC